CAAAGTCTGTAGTTCACTCTTTTTCACAGCTGAATAGTATTTCATTGTATGGACGTGCCACGTTTTCTTTATCCATTCACCTGCTGACATTTGGGCTACTTCCACCGTTTGACTATCATAAAGCCCAGCACTTGACCTTTGATCAATTTCTAATCTTCAATTCTGCTTGGTTCAGGGTCTAATATTAGCACCTAGAAAGCTCTTATGAGGCCACCAAGCAGCTCCTTCAGTTGCTCCTGCCCAGGGCAGCCAACCTTGTTCCTTTTGAGGGTTTTCCTAAAGACCCTAAATTGAGCTAACTCTCCACACCTGTCCCTTACGCCGCCAACTCCCCCCACCCCCATCCCACTATCCCAGACAGAAGCTGGCAGAAATGTGGCCAGCTTGGCGCAACCCCTCAGTACACTGTGGTGCTCGCATTTTTCATGTGGTTTTCTCCTTTCTTGCTGCACTCTTACAACAAGCCCCCCACGGACTCATAAAGTTTACTTGGATCATCCCATTTAATCACCCAAACAACTCTACATGGCAGGATTACTATTACTCATTTCAGAGGAAGAAACCACAAGAGATTACGTCAAACTCAGGTTGCCAATTCAAAGCCCTTTCCTCCCTCCTGTCCTGCCCTGCGAAACCTCACTCATACTTCAATTATTGACGCCACAAATTCCTATTCTTACCAACCTAGTCCTGTGTTGGGAAACAAAAGGGCTACCCCGAGAGCAATCCAGTCGCAAGTGTACACAAACCGATTTCCTTTAATGAGAAACCGGAGCTGTTGAGAGGCCATTCGAAGTGACATTGCAAACATTACCTCCTCCCCAGCTCACCCTCTGGCATGAGCGAAGAGCTCCGTGGGTCCAGCTCCCGCTGCAGAGTTCTCTCTCCAGGCTGCCCAAGGGGTGTGGCCAAGGCGCTCTTGGAAACCACCTGAGCCCCCACCTCCCGTCCTGGGCCACTGGAGCGTGAGGGCCAGGCAGGGGCCCAAATGGGATGAACACGACAACGAGAAGACAGGGCCAGGGTAAGGGCCCAAGACCCCTGTAGGAAGCTGGGGCAGCCCAAGATTTGGCCAAATCCTCACTCCTGTACCGCAGCCCTGGGCCTAACTTGCACTCAAAGGCAGCAGAGCACTTTAAACCCGGAAGACCAGCAAAGGGACCCTCCCTGCCCATGGACCTCTGCCCATTTCCTGGATAGGCCCACAACAAGGTGGAGTGGTGTTGGCTCCCGTGGGCTCTGAGAGCCAATCCTGCACATCTCTGCTTTGGGGGGGGTAGCCTGAAACGGGCCACAGGTGGAAATATTTACTCCAGGGAAAGTCACAGAAGCTACAAATCATCCCAGGTGAGAACTATATCCCCCCAGGCACCTTGGCCCAGGCCTCTGCTAGGGCTTGTGGGTACAGTCAATCATCAGATGTGGAGGAGGAAGAAGCCCCAGCAGAAAGCATCGGTCTAGCTATAGCTATAGCTATAGCTATAACTAGCACCAGGGCCCCACCCCTGTTCAGTCCAAGATCTTAAGCCAGGAAGGAGCAACCCAGATCTGCTGGCTCCAAACCAGGGCTCATCCAATGAACCAAGTGACCTCCACAAAAGCCAGCCAACTGCAAACTAATGACTTCCTTTAAGTTGAGAGACGATGAGGAGAGACAGGTGTCTCTTTTAACCAAAGGCTGTTGAGGGGGAGCCTCAGGCACGCGGCCCTTTTTGAGTGAGGGTCTCTCTCTTCTTTCCTGGCCATCCTGCCTATGACAGCTCATCGGCCAGCTCAGGCAAAGCGAATTCCCTGAGTGAGCTGGCCCTTCAAGGGGACGAGTTCAGTGTGAGGTTACGTCTGTCAGCCTTCAGAACAAATCCACGGCTTATTAATTCTTTCTCTTTTGTTTGGCAGGCAAAAGTAAATAAGCTTTTCTCAGGCAGCTTCACAGAGGCCTTCGCTGCTCAAACACTGGCAAGAGCAGACAGGTTTGGAGGTGCTGCACTCCCAGGCCCTACTTCCGGGGCCCGCGTGGCCTCCAGCCCTCAGCCCACTGAGGTAGGGCTGCTCAGCCTCTCCCTGATGAGAGGGCCTGCAGGCCAGCACTGCAGTCCCAGGGATGACTCGTGCTTTCCCGGCCCCCAGAAAAGTCAGCTAAGGGTCTGGCCAAAGCTCCAAGATCCAAACCTGACTGTCCAGCCCTCTCTGTGAGGAAAGTACTTTGTAAGTGTTTAAATCGTATTTGTAAAGAAAGAAAAAAGAAAACAAACAGTCACAAAATCAAAAGGAGTCAGAAAAGTTAATTAACTAACCAAGGACTGTCAAGGAAGATATTTCCAAAGAGGATGCTAGAGATGTTAAAAAGTGCTGCTCAGGAATATCTTATTTGGGGCGGGGTGGGGGGTATAGTTTACAGATAGGGTGCCTGCCTGGCCTGGGGTTTGATTCCTAGCCCTGGGGGTAGGGTGGGGAGTGGAGCTAGGAACCTTGGATGCTTTATACCAGCTGCGTGTGGCCTGTGTAGCTCTCTCAGGGGATTTTTTTTTTTTCCTCTCTTGCTTTCCCTTCCCCCACATCTGCCCATTTCGGCTTGGGAAGGAAAAAGGCAAACAATATTTCAAAAAATCGAAACTTAGGTTGCAAAGTGTAGGGAAAAAAATGAAAGGAGGCAGAGAAAGCTCATTAAGATCTATCCTGTCACAGTGTAACCCATTAATTTGCACAATTAATATGCATTAATAATTATAATTGAAAGGAAAAAGGTCTGTCCTGCCCTCAGGTGAGCTGTTTGCACAGCAGCACTCATGATGTGAAGCCAAGGGCTTGTGCAGCTGAGTCCCCTCAGCCACATCACTGGCCAACAACTACCACCACTGTGGTACCAAGAACAGAGGCTCCATTTAAGTGTCCTCTAGCTTCAAAAGTGCACCCCCAACAAAGTTCTGTTTTTATTGATTAATGGTGCTGGGGAATGAACTCAGGACCACGCATGCTGAATATGTATTCAACCACTGAGCTGCGCTGTCAGCCCTTCCCCTTGTTTAAAAAAACAACAAAAAAACACTAGCAAAAAAGTCTACCCTTGTTCTCAATGCACAAGAGGGGACAAATTCTTCCCTCCCCACTTGATTGGGCCTCTCTATGTTGCCCATGCTGGCCTTGAATTCTTGAGCTCAAGTGACTCTGCCTCAGCCTCCTAACTGGAAAAAATGATTTTTTAATTAGAAAACACACACACACACACACACACACACACACACACACACACACACATCACCTACTCTGGGATGCTGCTATAACCTGTTCTATGGCAGAGGGCTTCTCCCTCCACACCTTAACTCTGGCATTCAGCTCCCAGGCACTCTGTGATGTGGTTTCCTTCAAACCCTTCCCATCATGGTTGCTCAACCAAAGGCACAGAAGCAGCCAACAACCCGAGGCCTGGCTATCTTTGGCTTTCCCCGGGGTGGCCTCTGGCACTCCCCGAAGTACATTTCTGTCCTTCCTCTTGCAGGCTGTTGCTGCTATGCACGCACAAGCTTAAATGTGTTTTCTCTCAAATGCCTAGGGTACCGCCAATTCTCCCCCAAATCCAGAGACTTTGTTCCAAAGTTCAGGCAACCACAAGGATTTGCAAGCTCTCCCCCACCTCCCCACAGTCCCATCTGGAGAAAGGGAGGACCCCCAGGGCTGGCACAGACGTCACTGTCAGTCTGCCTACTCCAAACACACAGAAGCCACGGTGTCCCCACGACCAGGACTCCAGTGCGGGCCTGGACTGCTTTCAGCAGGGCACCCCAAGCTGCCAGGCTCTGTGCTCCCTGCATGTTCAAAGCCAGGGCTGCAAAGCCTTTCAAACTGTACCAGGGAACCTACGGATCCTTTCTCAGTATTTTTCAGTGTTAAAATAAAACACAGATGGTCCTGACTTGCAATGGTTTGAAGTAAGGAGTTTTGACTTTACCATGGTAAAGTGGAAGCAAGATAGGGTCAGTAGAAACTGTACTTCAAATTTTGAATTTGGATCTTTTCCTGATCCTCTCTCCTGATACTGGGCAGCATCTAGGAGGCAAGCTTCATCAGCCTTGTGATCTTGAGGGGATAAAACCAACATTCTGCAGTGTGCTGTGTGGCGGAATGAGGACGCTTGGTGGGTGAGTTATTTTCAACATATCTCGTACTCAGAATATTTTCAGGGTGTAACCCCAACATAAATCAAGGGGCATCTCTTGAGAGGAAGCTGGGCAGGTGAGGCAGGAGGTAGCAAGTCTGGGCCCAGTCTCAAAATAAAAAATAAAAGGGGCTGGAAGTATAGCTCAGTCTTGGTTCGAACTGGTAATCCTCCTGACTCAGTCTCCCAGAGTGCTAAGATGACACGTGCTTCTTTCTAAATGACTGTAAATCAGGATCTACTAGCAGGTCTAGTAACTTCTGTAATTTTGAAGCAATCGTGAACATAAATATTTCACGATATCTGTACCAACAGTAATGTGATATAAACACAGCTGTGGTTGCTACTGGTGGCCACATCACAAGGCTGTGGTTGCTGGCCCACATTTGTCATGGAGGAAATGTTACATCTTCAGTTAGAAGCAGAAGAAAATGAAGATGGGATTCTCCTCCTGCCCCACCTCATAGGCCCTCAAATTCCCATGCCCTGGTATGGAACACGTGCCCAGGAAATCTCAGTCCCAGCCCTGCCCGTTCCACCTCAGTGGCCCCAGAAAGGAGGGCCTGGATGCTATTGGCCAGCCGGCAGCATTCTAACCTCAGCAGCAAGTACTAAAGTCTTCACCTCTAGGGCTGTTTGGCTCTGTTAAAACATCTTTTACTTTATTCTCAGAAACAAAATCACCCAAAAGTACCCCATGGCTCCCTCCTCTTTAGTGCAAGGGCTGGTGGTGGGGGGTACCACTCACACAGAGCCCGGGGGCTTGCAAGGGAGCCCAGGTCCTCCCGTCTGCCCTCCCACTCCAAGCGGAGCAAAGATGAGGCACAAGACACTCGGGACAGCTTACCTTCCGGCTCCTCCACGCTGCTGGCTACAGTGGTTGGTGGTGCTACAGGGATCTCTTCATGAGGTTCAGGACAGGCAGGAGGAAAAAATACAGTAAGAAGACATTATTTTTGACCTTTGAAAGAGAATGACTCCGCAGACTCATCCCACCCCTTCTGGGACCCTCTTTTCCTTGCCCATTCCACAGCTCAAGAAAAAGAAAGATGAGAAGAAAGCCAGCAGCAGGGTCCTCGAGTCCCGGGCATGTTATCCTGTTCTCCTGTCCCTTCACCCGGCAGGGATGTCACAGCTCCTGGTGACACAGAGGGCCAGCCCCACACCTGGCCTGACCCGTGTGTCCTCTTCAGTTCTACTCTGTCAGCAACTCAGCTCTGTGCCTGTAGGGTGCAGACGGTCTTCCTCGGGCTCTCTGCTCAAAAGGCTACCTTGACCCTGCTCATCTGTGACCTCAACTCAGGAGGAGTAAAGACCTCATGCAGGGATGATGTGTGAGGGGCCGGAACCTGCCCCTGGGAAGGTTTGTCCCAGGGACACAGACGTCTGCAGCCCAGTCCTGCTTTACATAGGTTCCTGGCCCACAAGCTAAGGCCTTCTCCTAGTGGGCACCGTGGGAGGACACCACTGGAGATCAAAGGGCCTGTAAGAGCACATACTTTGGATTATTCTTTTTCTACCTGGAATAACAACTGGTTCCTATTATTTCCTGGACCTGACTCTGTATTCGCAAAAAGTGAAGAGGTTCCATGGGTCACTGCTGTTCATTGAGCTGCTGGGCATCAAAGCTGGGCTTCTTTCTGGACAAAGGCCACACCATGGGTCAGAAGTCCCTTTTCTGAAGGGACTGACTTACCTCTCCTGGTAGTGACCTCCAATCTCACTATGGAAGCCATCATCTGACTATTTGGGGTAAGAAGTCCCTCTAATCCCTGGTTCCAGGTACACTAGGACAGAGAGGCTTGATGGCTAGAGAAGAAATACTCAGGCTGGGTACAAATCTTAGAGTCCCCTGAGGAAATAGGCTTTGTGCTTTTGGAAAAGCAGGTAGAGGACACAGTACTCAGTGCTGAACTACATCTTGCTCTCAGATGATTGTATTAGCAACAACCCCCAGGAGCTCCCTGGGAAGGTGGGGACACTGTACCAGGCCCGTTCTTAGACCTAAAAAAGTCATGTAACCCTACAAGAAATGCTCTGCAGGCCACATTTGCATGGCCTGGTCTGATCCTCCAAGTCCACAACAGGGCTGGGGCCAATGGCTAGGGAGCCCCACTGGCTCCCCAGCCTCACTACTGCAGACAGGCCTGGCTCTTGGTTGCACATGGAGGGTCCAGGGCTCTCTAACCCATGACAAAACAGGGCCCCCAGCCAATGTGCACGGACCTTGCACAGTAGGGTCCAGAATCTTGAAACTGGTGGGTGGGAATGCTCAAGGCCATCAGCCCACCCTAGGGGGAGGCAGGGGGAAAGTACAGACCATGTGGGAAGGCAAGCATTCCCATCTCCCAGGGGTTCCATTTCTGACTCTGAAATGTCAAGTCTGGTTTTAAACTTGTTTTTTTTTTTTCCACTTGGGGGTTGGAAATGTTGGTTCTAGCCATTTTTGTGCAACCTGACAACTCCTAACACCTTTAAAAGAAAGACCTAGCAGCTGGGCTTGGTGATACGTACCTGCAATCAGGAGGCTGAGGCAGGAGGATTGCCATGAGTTTAAGACCAGCCTGAACTACACAGTGAGACCCTGTCTCAAAAAATACCAAAATGAGGAAAAAGATAAAGAAAAAGAAAGACCTAGGGCTGGAAGTGTGGCCCCGTGCAAGAATACCTACCCAGCATGCCCAAGGCCCTGGGGTCCATATCAGCACCAGGAAAAAAAGGGTAAACTTTGCTCTTTCTCCCAATGCTTTCATGACCCCAGATTTCCTCCTGGCTTTCTAAAAATATTCATTTTGCAACTTTCTGTATGGACAGAGAAAAGGATTTTTACAAATGCTACAAGTGGCACTGTAAAAATCCTTCCTTCCTTTCAGAACTGGGGGCTAAACCCAGGGCCTTTCATACTGAACTACAATCCAGGCCTTTTTTTTTTTTTTTTTTGAGACAAGTTCTTGCTAAGTCACTAGCCCAGTTCAAGCCCAGGCTAGGCTTGAACTTGTGGTCCTCTTGCCTCAGTGTCCAGGAGTGCTGAAATTACAAGTGCGTACCACTGTGACTGGCTGGTTTCTTCTTTTTTTTTTTAGGGTGATGCTCAGATGGAACCCAGGGCCTTGTGCTGGCCAGGCTGGGCATGTACTCCACCACTGAGCCACCCCTTCAACCTGCTGGCCCTGAAAGGACATCAGGCTCCATTTCCCGAAGCTCGGACTTTGGTAATTTGCTGTCAGGACCCATGTGGTCATCGGCCGGAGACATCCCTTGATTCAGAAACTGGTCAGAGCTGCTGCCGGGACTGACACAGCCAATGTGTCCTCCAGCACAGGTGAGGTGTGCAATGTCTAAGCTCCCACCTGCTGGGGAAGGGGCTGTCTGTGGAGCCTGAAACACTCAAGCACTGGGGACTGCTGCTGGGGTGAGGGACTCCCCACCTCCATGCTGTCCCCCTGGCACTGGTCTCATGCCTCTCCAGTTGTTCCAAGTCCCTAGTAATGTAACAGTCACAGGAACCCACCAGAACCTGAGAGAGAATCTCTGGGGTGGACTGACTCCCCCCAAACAGGGCCAAGGAGTGAATATTTCAAGGCTCTGTGGGCCACGCAGTCTCTGCTGCAGTCGTTCAGTTCTGCTGTTAATAGCACAAAAGCAGCCATAGAAAAAGCATAAATAAGGGAGTGCAGCTCTATTCCAATAAAATTTTATTTATGGACACCAAGCTTTATGTTTCACATAATTTCTTTTGGTACCCGGGAATGAACTCGGGTCCTTGCGCTTGCAAGGCAGGCCACCGAACCGCTGAGCTAAATCCCCGGCCTCACATACTTTTTTATGTGTCATGAAATACTATTCTTCCTTTGATTTCTGTTTCAACCATTAAAAAAGGCACAAACTACGGAGCCATACAAAAGCAGGCAGCGGCCAATTTCCTAGGCCACATTTGCCAGCCTTACTCTCTAGAGAACCAGACCTCTTTCCTGGGATCTTGCCTTGTTTGCTGGGATTCACTCCACCCCTTCCCTACTCCTCCCCTGCATGAGGAACCAACAAGGCTGAGGACCAAAGCAAGGTTGAGCCAACTTGCAATTGGTACCGGGGGTCGAACTCAGGACCTTGCGTTTTCAAGGCAGGTGGCAGGACCACTGAGCTAAATCCCCGGCCCGGGCTGGGCTTTCTAACCAGGGCTAATTCTCTGCTCATAACACCAGTGCAAGCCCACTGGATGTGAAATGCCGAAACCCTTCTGAGCCAAGGCTTCTGTGTGACTCTGCTCTCCTCCTCAGCTTCTCTCCATGTTCCGGCGACTGTGATCTGACCCATCCCTGGAGCCCCAGAGCAGTGATGGCGAACCTTCTAGAGCTCTCAGTGATACAAACACCCTGCTGTGACACATGTGCAGTAGGCTCACCACCACTGCCCTAGGGTGATGTCACCCTTCACAAAGGCCACTGGTGCTGTGAACAGGGGCCTGGCCCAGCTTTTCTCAAAGGCCCTAGGCTTTCAGTTCTTTCTGTTCTCTTGCTGCGGATGTGGCTCAGTGATGCCATGCCTGCCTGGCAAATGCAAGGTCCTGAGTTCAATTCCTGGTACCCACCCCCCCAAAAAAAAGCAGTGCTCAGTTCTTTCTGTTCTCAATGCACAAGGGCACAGCAACCCACCCCAGATGTGGGGTCAAGGTGGAATGTGAGGAACAGGACCTGTACTGGGGAAAGGGAATTGGTTGGAGCCAGAGATCCAATATTTGTCAGGACAAAGGGCCACATACAGGCTGGCTCTGCTGAGCCTCCAGCTGCTCCTGCAGAATGCTTCTCCCCAACCCCAAGCTTGGGATCTACCATGGGATCTCACTGAGCACCAAGTATTAAGCAAAAACAACTCCAGATTAGTAACCAGCCATCCCGTGGGGCTCCCTCTGCCCCATCCAAAGGCTGAGAATGTGGGTCCTGCACGTACTGATGCAGGGCGCGATGGGAGAGCGGCTCTGCTGGTAACCCTTGGCGCAGCGGTTGCAGGTGATGCCTGTCACCCCATCCTTGCAGGGACACTGGCCGGTGGTCTGGTTGCAGGTCTTGCCAGCAGCACCAACAGGGTGGCAATCGCAGGCTGTGAAGAACACACAACAGTAGGGTCAGAGCAGCTGGATGGTGTCCCAGGAACCCCACCCTAGGGAAAGGGGATGGGAGGCAGGCCTGGCCAAACGCACACATGAACTGGAAGCTCTGAGGTTGGCCACCTGTACACCTGGGGATGTGTGAGAATCAAAATGGATCTACTTAGAGGGGATGTTTTGGCAGGAGGAGAAGAAAGCTGAGGAACCCTACAACAGCAGGAGGAAGGCTGATGATCAAACATGTTTTCAAAGGTCTGGGGGTACAGCACAGTGGTACTGTGATTAGTGTGCACGAGGCTGGGTTAAATCTCCAGAACTACCCACCCTCTTAGCAACAGACAGAAAGACAGAGCCCACAGTCCTTGTCATGTATGAGTGGAGGCACACTGTCTCGTCAGAAGTTCATATGTTTTAGCTGGACATGGTGGCACACGTGTTTAATCCCAGCACTCGGGAGGCTGAGACAGGAGGATCGCTGTGAGTTCGAGACCAGCCTGGGCTACATAATGAGTTCCAGGTCAGTCTCAGCTACATAGTGAGACCCTGTCTCAAAAAAAAGAAGTTCACGTGTTTTCACTCTCTGCCCTCAGCCCACTCTAGGGCCCTAGGTTTCTCTGCAGACCCTCTGAATGGAGGAGTGGAGTTTGGGGCCTGCTGGGGCCCCAGGGTCTACAGTCAGAGAACAGCATGGGGAAGGAACTCCTACAGCTGCTGCCCCCACCTGCCTGGAAGCCTGATGTCCAAGGTTCAGCCTTCTGAACCACAAAACCCATACACTACAGCACTAGAAAGGGCCACAGTGTTAAGTTAGTTAAAACTCCGATGAAATGTGCAGACAAAAGCTGGAGAGGTAAAGGAAACCCCTGGGGCCTCACAGGAAGGCAATGGCAGGCCTGGAGATGAAGTGAGGACCCTGATTCTCAGGCCAGAGGCTATGGCTCCCAAGAGCAGATCCCATGCCACTCCTACTGATTTTGAAAGGGGTGACAGTCGGACAGACCGCCCTGTCCCACTGTATGCTAGGGCCCCCTCGCTGAGGTCTAAGGGTCTATTTCTAGTAATGAGGCAGCCAGAGCACTCTGGGGGTGTCTCCACCCACACCCTAATACACTGGGCAAGCACAGCTATCCCAGCACACAGAGGACACAGGAGGTTCTGCTGAATCCTGCCCACCAGAACCAAGGCTGTGGAGTAGCTGGGGGAAGGAGACACAGAAGGGGACAAATGTTCTGCCTTACTCCTTGCCCTAGGGAAGCCCAGAGAGGGTAGGGGTGGCCTACGACAAGGCATCCTGCAGCCATTTCGATTGCTGCCACACACTGTTACATGTTTCTGTCCCCAAAGGGGACAAAACTATCCAGGAAAATAAGTGAGGACAGAATCCTAAAAGAGCCAAAGTGGAACTTCGCCAGTGAGCCCCACTCAGCGTGAGGGCCAGGGTCTGCAGATGAAAATGTGGCCTCGCCCAGCGGCCTCAGTACAGGAGGAGAATTAATAGGAGGAAGGAGAGAAGGACGAAGCAGAAAGGAGAAGAATGCCAGGAACTGTTTGTTGCAGTTGTGTCTGGAGACGCAAAAGCCTCTGGGAGCCCTGAAGAGAGTGTCCTGGCTGAGGGTGCCCCTGGCTGGCAGACCACCTGCCTGTGGGCTCCTACACTGTGGGACCTAGGAGAAGCAACCAGGACTCTTCCAATCCTGCACCCTGTAGGTAAGAGTGATGCTTTTGTCTTCTTAAAACCTACCCTAAATTCAATCTGTACCCTATAGTTTGCTTTAGAATTCAGTAATAAAAGACCTGACCTTGATGATCGACAGGGCCAGCTAAGATGATGGCAAGGAAGGGAATGCTGGAGGCCTTTGGACATTCCCTACGGCCCCTTAAATCCACCCCATCATGGGCACATCTCTAAGTTGGCTGTGTGAATGCACAGGGCCATAGGCCAGCATCCCACAGTCCCTAAACCTCTGACGTGGCCTAGGGCACCAGGTGGGTATGGGCTCTGGGGGCTGTGCCAGCTGACCTCCCTTGGCCTGATCCACAGGCTGCTGGTAATCCTAAAATTTACTCCAAGACCTTCTCCCCTGGGTGCTGATGGAACACAGCTGTGTGCCAGTAATGTCTAGATCCTCGGGCTTGACTAGGGAGAGGACACAAAAGGTTGCTCGGTCATTGAAGTTTCTGAGCCAAGTCACACAAGGACACTACCATCAGTCCAGGTCATCTTTTTCTTGGCAGGAGCTGGCCCAGCGTGGACGCCGGGCGGAGGCTGGACAGAAGCACACAGTGTCCTCCCTGCAGCCCTGCACAGCTAGTGAGCTGCTCCACTGCCCAGGCTGGCACACTGCTGGGAGGGTCCAGGCACCAGCTGAGGCCTGCTGGAGCCCAAGGTGTCCTCAGTGATGGCAGGCAGTTCCATGTCTGTTCTGTGCAGCCTACACTCCCTAAGGTCCATCCTTTGATGGATCAGGAGCTGATCTTACTGCTGGCTTCCCAAATCTTTCTCCCAAGATTCTGCAAAGACTTGGGCCCATTCATCTCATCTAATCAGGGCAGTAGGATGCTTTCTACTTATACATCAGCAAATTGGTATTCTAAGAAGTGAAGGAACTGGGGTTCCAAAGGCTGCTCCAAGACAATGTGACCACCGGGTCTCAACCTTCCCAGCAGAGTGTCCCTCCATCGATACTCTGACCATGCAGACTCCTGCCGCCCTTCTCAGGTGATGCACACACATAGGTGCCATCTCCTGGAATTCCGCGAGAGCTCTGAGGAACTGCTGTGACTGTACAGGAACCGAGGACAACACAGGCTGGCGAGGAATTCACAGGAGAGACAAGGTGGCACCAGGAGGGAAAGGTCCTGGATCTCTGAGCATCCACCCAGGTCCCTCACCACTTCTGGATGGCCTCCTTTGTACATCTTGTCTCTCATGGACAAATTAGTTCTTATCTTTTTCAACCAATATCAGGTGGGTTTTTGGTTACTAGCACCCTAATCCAATCGGAACCAAGACCAGCACTGCCCTCACTCTCAATTCTCAGCCAAATAACCCCAAAGCAAGAGCATTCCCCAAGACCCAGGAAGAAGGATAAATGGCCCAAATCACACCCTCTGTGCAAAGGATCCGTTTCAAGGTATGGAGAGAGCTGACTGAGGACAACACCCACCTCTACAGCTAGGGAAAGAGAATCTGAGATCAGTGTCAAAGAAGGAAAGCCTCAGGGCCTGGGTTAGGAAAAAAGTCAAAGGGTCTTGTTTGGTTCCTCAACCAGAAGTGTACACACACACACACACACACACACACACACACACACACACACTCAGACACACACATATACCCAGAAGTACACACAGATTCCTTTGCTCTCTCTTTTCTATACGGACTCAGACACAACATACAGATTCCTACAGACTCACACTCAGACATACCCAGGTCCACAAAGACACAGACACAGACAGCCGTGCAGACATGGAACATTCACATAGGAGCTACAATGGGCAGCAGGCAGGGCTGGGGTGAGATGGGGAAAATGTGGACGTGAGGCAAATGGAAAGTTTTTCCTTTGGGGGTGGTTCTGGAGGTGGGGATGAAAAGAGAGCCTCCCTAATTCTTTTGAGACTGTGGTCTGGGTCAGAACATCCTCCACTACAGGAAGCCTGCCTGGTGCCTCCCATTTCCCTGGAAGTCGGCCACTTCTTTCAGAAGAAAGGTCAGCCTATTTGCACAGAGCAGGCAGCACCTGGCCACAGGAAACAATCTACCGGAGATTTTTTTCCATAAAGAGAAAGGTGAGACCAGAAGGAAGTCCAGGCCCTGAGAACACAGCAGGATTGGGTTTCCCATGAAAGCTGCGTGCTGCACAACCTCTGGGTGAGGCCAAAAACCCAGACTGTCCCTGCGCTGGGCCATCAGACAAGGACAGACAGATGGCTCTGGGGACCCAAATGGTTTCAGGTACCTGACTGAAGAACCGAACCGGGCCTGGCCCTGCCCTGCCAGCAACCTTAAGTTAGTGCCTTGGCTCATCTGTAAACACAGAGGTCTATGATCCTTCAGGGAAGGCTTCATATCCACATTGGCTCCAAGAGAACCACCGGAGGCAGCCAGCAGCATTGGGTCTTAATCCCTTGGGCTACATTCATCGCACTGCCCTGGCCTGGGGCCGGGAGGCACCCTTCCTTACACACCTCCCTAGAGCCCCGCCTACGCTGTGCCAAGGCTTCTTGCTGATGAGACTTTGTCCGTGAACCAAAGGCTATCCGGGGCTTCTTTCAGGAGCCCTGGGAAAGTCGGCCCAGAAGGCAGCCAGATCTGCTCCCTGGCCTCCCACATCTGAGCAGCACAAAGCCTTTGCTTCTCCCTCTGATACTCTCATCCTGGATCCCTGAAGGTCTGCAGTCTGCATCGACTGGGCCCACAGGCCCAAGGCTTCCCCAGCCCTGCTGCAACTCACACTGGGGCTTTGTGCAAGTCCATCCTTAGCTCCCATTGGGAACTCTGGCCACTCTTCTTGAGGACTCCGGCTCTCAGGTTCTTGTGGATCAGGCGGGCCCCTCAAATGACAGCAATCGAGGCAATCCAGACAGCAGTCTACCTCCTCCTTGTGGAAGAGGAGAAGCCAGCTGGGCATCAGCCCCTCTGGAGCCGGAGAGACAGAAGGACCACAGCACCAACCCTCAGTTCAGACACTGGCCCAGCTACCACCCAGGCCTCTAGTGTTGAAACAATTTCTGGCTGGCCTTGAGTAAGGGGCTGAATCACAGCCCCACCCCCACCCCTCACTTCTAAAATGCTTTTGTGAAGTCCCTTCCAGCTCTGACCCCAGCTCACAGACTGTCAGCACAAGGGTACTTCCAAAAGGTCAGGTGACAGAGGCCTGGGCCAAGGAGTACTGCTGGGTCCCAGGTCCATCTGCAGGTCACAGTGTACACAGAGATGTGAGGCCTGCAGTAAGAGCTTCTGCCAGGGGTGTGGCCCCACGAGTGGCCCCAT